TTTTATTTTTCAGTCAAATTATAAGTAAAAAATATTTTCTAATTAAAATCAAGGTTAATTATATAAATAAAATGCAAATATGCTTATTTTAAAAAATACAACCAATTAAATTTCTTTATTTTAATTTTCTAGCTAATAATATTTTAAATTTAATTCTATTATAAAGTGATAGATTAATAACTAATTATATATAATAAGATTATTATTTGTATAAATAAATAAAATAATTTTAAAATAAAAAATTAATAAAAAAAAGTTTTTTTTATTTTTTATAAATAAAAAATTTTTATATACAATTAAAATTTATAATAAATATTAATATAAAATCTAATAATATATATATTAAAAAATATTTAATATTTTTTAAATATTAAATAATATATAAATTTTATAATTAGCTATAAGTTATATATAAGCAATATTAATCATATTTAAATAAATAGATATGATTTATTAAGAAAGAATAAATATTAATTTTTATTATAAAAAAATTTTCTATTTCTAAATTATTTAGTAAAAATAAATATATATAATATAATAAAGTTATTTTATTTTATTATTAAGTTTACTTCTAATTCATATATATAAATTATACTACTTACTATTAAAGTTAAAAAGAAATTTTTTAATTATTAATACTAATATATTTTGGTATAATAAAAAATTTTTTAATAATATATAGGCAATTACATTTAATAATTAATCCATTCAATAATGACTTGTGAATGTAATTTTGATAGATTATAACCTATATATTCTTCTATATAAAGATTATTAATCATCAAATGCTTTTTTTTAGCATAATTTACAAGAATATTTTCAATTTTTTTAGAATTTCCAATACATTTAAATTTGAAATTTCTTACAAGGTGATATAAATTCTCAAGAAAATTCTCTAATATTTTAAAAGAAATTAACCATTTTGATATATCCAAGGTGACTAATGTAGAAGAAATGTATTGAGCAAACTCCTTTAAATTTTTCTTAATGGTTAAATGTAAATAAATGAAATCACTAAAAAGGATGTAAAGGAATTTCAAATTTTTAGAATTTTTCATTAAATAAAATAATTTTGGAATTTCGTCTTCTTTACGTATCTTAATACTAAAAGAGGTAAGCAAAGGACAATAATCCGTGATAGTTTCGATTAAAAGTGAAGGGTAATCCGACAGATCAACGAATAATGAAATTTCCAATAAATTCTTTCCATTATTGTTTATAAAAGTG